TGAAGTTTATGATCTGATTCTGTAAGGCTTTCAAAACCCTACTTGGAACACATTCCTAATAAATATTCCCCTGAAGGAATGAGGGAAGTCTGTATCCTTCTCACTAGAACTATTACAAACACTATTCTGTGGCACAGCAGAATAATTAATTGAGAATACCAAGAACCTTTAAGAATTATTACACAGAAATATTTTAAAATATGATCAAAATATACAAGATACCTATCAGGATTTTCTGAAGAGGCTTCTTTCTGGTTTTGTGTCTACATTTTAAAAACTGAAAAAGACATTTGTTTCCCACGTATTTGCAAATTTTTGAAAAGATGCCTCATTTGAAAGTTTTGAGCCTCCTGAATGTCTCTGATTTTCCTGACTGTGGAATTACACACATTGCTGGTACACGCCGGGGACATGATGAGGCATTTCCAGGAGCAGAAATGCTCATGCACTTTCCAAAGAGGACAGTGGTTAGAAACATTTCTAGCCTCATCCACTTCTTTATCAATTGATTCCCTCTAAAACACAGAGATCGGAAGAATCATGTTTCTGTGGTGCAAGCAGGGAATGCAGGTGGTGACTGCACTGCCATCCTGGTCACCAGATGTCAGTAGGAGGAATGGGACAGCCCTTAAGTGCTGAACATCAGCTTGAAACCCTTATTTATGTTGGTGAGCCTTGAGAGCACGTACCCATCACAACACACCTGATGATATCACACTACTGATGTGCTCATTATCACAAAAAAAGGAATGATTAGGGAACAAACTGGTTAACAAACTATATAAACTATATTAGAGTAGGCATTTCCCCAGCCCAGCAAAGCTATCGCTCTCCTCGGTCCATCTGCAACTGGGTCGCTGCTGCTCCACAGAGGATGGCAGATGGAAGCGCTCTGGCCCACGTCCCCTCAGACGGACACAAGAGTTGCACAGCCACAAAAGCAGCTCCAAGAGGCCTTCGGAAACATGCCCAGTTTCCTGACAAGCTCTGCTATTTAACCAATTACAAACCAAGATGAAAATGTGAACAGTCACACGGCAACGTTTAAGGAAAAATACTCTGTATACAAAAAGAAAGAGCCCATTTACTGAGCCGCAAACTCTACAACACCAACAGACACTTCATGGAGAAGGAATAAAAATAAATAATGAAATAAGCACTTCTAATTGCTATTCAACTGCCGCCGAGCWCTGGGTGGATGGCCAGAGCTGGAGGTGCCCGGAAAGGCGGCAGCACCAGCAGCAGACCCGGCCTAGGGGCCGATGCCAAGCGGGGCTCACGCTGAAGGCCACGTCAATGACGATGGCCACAGCAAACACAGCTCCATTTAGTGCAGGTCTTGGCGCAGGGAGACCGGGGCAACGGCCTCCTACGGACACCGATGCAGCGAGCATGTTTCCGAGCCTCTGCCCGAGGGATTGGGCCTCTCAGATACACAGCTGCTTTGTAAATACCTTGGCCAGTTTTACAGGAAAAAAACAGTTCAAAAAGAAACAGTCTTAACATTATCTTAAAAAAAAAAACGCTTATTGAAGAGACAGTTTCACCCCACAGAAAGATGAGACACCTGAAACAAATGTTAYCATTGCAGAAAAAGGAAACTACATTGTAATTATCATCTTTTAGGCCCTTTCACTTCCCAAATATTATTTAAAATAACATTCRACTGTACCTCGCATCTGGGTTTAATGCGAACAAATATGCATTTAAAACTAGATGAAATGCCAAACCAGCAYACATATACAGATTTAAATGTTTAACTAATTTGACTTACGGAAATGTCATCTGGAAAATAATTTTTTCCTTCCCTTTGCCTGCCCACATAACTGGTACAATGGCCACAATCTGGTCTCTTAATTTGCTGTAATATCTAGAATCAGTGTAAACTCTGTTCTTGGGTTCTCTTCCCAGCACCCCCTTTCTCCTTCCTTCCTTTTTCTCCACTCCCCCCTCTTTCTTTCTTCCTTTCTTTCCAGTTCATTGCAGAGATAGACTCTCCGTCATTGCAGGATAGTGATGGGGGAGATGGCAAAGGAAAGGAGTAGGAAGAGAAGGTTGCTTCAGCTGACTCCCAAATTCACGAGCACTGAAGACACAAAACAGAGATGTCAAGCACGGGAGAAGAGGTAGGTATAAGACCATAAAAATTTCTGCTAGCCTCAAACCTTAATATATGCTAAGCTTAAACTTTAATGGACAAAAAGATTTAGAGGAAAAAGAATGCTAAAAAAAAAAAAAAAAGAAGAAGAAGAAAATTATAAACAACAGCAGAGGGGACAAGTATTCCTGATGAGGAAAGAACAGAAAGGAATATATGAATCTTTAGGGAACCAAGTAAGAAAGCCAAAAAAACGTTAATACAGCAGAACATGAAACACTAAAGGGTACATAACAAGGGGGCGTGCAACAAAGTATAGACTAATGCTACAGAGAACAGAGTAACTTATTGCCAAACAAAAAAAGAATGGAAGAGAACAGAGTAATAATATTACAAGGAGATAATAAAGAGGCAATAATCTATTTGCAGACTTCAGGGAATGGAAGTGTATTTTAGTTTATGAATGTATTTAAACCTCTTTGTTTACCACTATAATTTTGATCTTTTCTTCTTCATAAATTGGAAGAATTTCACTCCATATGGAAGAACGTACATTTTCATGGGGACTATTGACTGTTTACATTGCAACTAGAGATGATGCTCAAACATGTTCTGGCACATTAGTCCTACACACTGACCTGTGAGCAACAGGGTGCATTGGCTCCATACCTACATGGTTATTTGAGAATTGTCTTCAAACCACTTTTCTGAGGATGGCTGCAGTGCACAGATCTGTCTTTCTAGGTAAAGTATTRCTGCCAGTTATAAAGCATTTAAGCCCCTGTGATTCCATAGCAAAGGACACTGGCAAAGGCAGGAGGAGTCTCTCTTTCAAGTGACTTYTTTTTAAGTGACTTGTTTCCCTTTTTGTTCCCCAACACCTCCTTTAACATTCTTTAAGTAGATATCAAGAATTAATTTTACTATGGAAGCTTTCCTTGCTTTTTATATTATCAGAGGCTAAACTATATGAATTATGTTTTTTTCTTTTCAGAAGAAAACTAAAATCTTGTGTCTTGTTCRGTTCAAGCAGTCAATTGTTTTTCAMTAAGTTTACTGTGGGACAAATTTGWCAACTCACTGTCTTAAAGACAYGGTATTTTTCTCTCAGGAAATTTAGAAAAAAAATCTACACACAGAGAGAAAAAAGAATAAAACAAGAGAAAACAATATCAGTAAGGTTAAAAGCATATACAGCCTTTGAAAAGAACAAGAATTGTCATTAAGAAAGCATTTGAAATGCTGCTGTGGTATTCCTGTCCCTTTTTTTAAAAGGATGATCTGTCCATAAGCAAATTCAATTTCAGAAGCAATTTACATCTTGATTTAAATACCATGATTAATTTCCTTACAGCCTACTTGTTTTTCGTCTTGCACAATTTGTGATTTTGTTCATATTACATATCAAAAATAATTCCTTCAAAAACATTCATATTTCATTTGTGTTCTGGCACTAACACATAATAATGTCAGATTTTGGCAGCCTTATTCATACAAATTTTGGTCTAATGTCACTAAAGGCAAAAAAGAATGACAAAATGGAATCTAGCTCAAAACAAATCACATATATTATATATATAGATRTATTTAAATGTATATTTTATGCAARAGCAAACAAAAAGACACCTCCAGAGAGCTGTTACAGTTCATAATAAAAGTCACATCCTTAGGTTGTCTTTTCATATGCCATGAGTGGATTTATTTGCTTTTATTAAGATGAACTGAAATTCATGCCTGACCTTAGAAAGTATGAGCACACTCATAATCTGCTATCCAAAATAAAAAGAGGTTTGTGCAAACTCTTCTCAATAATGCTTCAAATACATTCAAAAATAATATTTTTAAACAATTCAGTTATGTGGAATTAGTGTTTTCCAGCAGGATATCATTCCTTTAGCAGTCTTTTAAATTTATTTTTAAAACCAGCCACTCTCCCTCTCTCTCTCTCTTTCTAGCAGAGGAGTGTTTCTTCCCTCTGTAATCAGCAATTCATATGTGTTTTTAATGCAGCTTACACACATAAAGAGATTGGCACTAAGATGTGCCTAAAAGTAAAAGAACTGCAACGAAGGTGACTTCTTTGCAAGCTTCATTGTCCATCTTTAGAGCAGAAAAACTCGTAGGATTTCAACAGTTCACCTTTTACATTAAACCACGCAACAGAACTTTAGCTCCTAATAATTAAACATAAATGGAATAAATAGAGGACTCTAAGTATTGACTCTTTTCACTTTAAAGTAGAAAAGTAAACTAGCTCCTTTTTTTGAAACAGTTGTGCCAAAAAAGCTGCTTTGAAAACTCCTTGCTGAATCTCACATCAGATTCTATTACTTACTGTTCAATCTTTCTACTTCGACTGAAGTTCACAATGTGCTCCTGCCTCTTCTGTTCCCAAAATGTTCCCAAAAGACAAAACGCATCTGGAGAAGCTTCATTCACAACTCTTCACTTCATTCTTTTTTTAAGGATTATTTGTAGAGTAACAACCAATTCTCTTTGCACTAAACTATTAAAACACTAACAGCTACCACTTTTCAGCAACTRTGTATTTTCAAATCCAGCAAGCTTCTGCCTCAGAACAGTTATTTGCCTTCCTGGTAAACTAAAATGACTGCAAATGAAATTATAAAACAACAACATTAGTTACAGCACAATAGCTAGTAGCTAATAGTAACAAGGAGGATAGCAAAGCCTACTTGGAAACAAGTTATCTAATATATACTATTTCAAATGAAATCCTAGAACTAGCATTTATTTGTAAAACCAAGTAAACAAACAGTATTTAAAGTTCCTAAAAATAGTACTTATGCTATAAAAGAACCTCTAAAAACATTATTAAAAGCTGACATTTCCCTGCATCAGGTCCTGAACAAACACAGAATAAGATACACTYGTTACTTACTGGTTTAGTGTTACATCCAGGATGAAGGATGATCCAAAAGCATCGACTTGGAAGCTGGCTCGAGCAATGTGAGTGGACTGCAACATTAAAGAGACTGGAATTAGTATTCAGCTACTACAAGACATATTGCATAGATTTGTGAATGCAAGAAGAAACTACTTAGTTACAATATGCCATTAGTCAAATAAAACTACAGTGAAATGGACAAAGTTCTATTCTATTGTACTGAATGAAAGATTTGCTTGTTTTCTTAATCTATGTGGTTGTATTGTTGGGAATTCTTGAATAAGCCTCAGAATTAGAGTAGCACGGAGGTGGAAACTATCAGCACTGCAGGATGCATTTCACTGCTTTTAAACTTGTATCCTAGGCAAAACGCTGAGTAAACACAACAGGGAAACTTTCTCTGAGTAACACACTGCCCTCACCTTAACCCAACTCTAGACACCAACCGCTGACAAACAGYCTCAATGCTACCAATTTGGCTGGACCAGGATATGTTCCCAAATTCTGCTGACATAACATGAATGAAATTGGTATTTTAAATATTCTCTCAGTGAAGCAGTGGGATAAATTCTGATTAGCTGCACTGACAACATTAACTCACTACCTCATAATCCACCTCCACCACAAGGCTTCCAAAACTCCAAATTCCTTAGCAGCCATCAAAACCAGATAAAACAATTGGGTATTAAACATCTCTTTGCCATATATTTTTTCCTGAATTGCTGGCTTTCTTTCAGTCATGCAAACAAACACACACACAAGTATTCTGCAACTCACAACTAGCCAGAAATAGAATAGCTTTTTTTAAAACAGTAGAAGAAAACACTTGCAGAGCCAATGGAAACATAAAACACTTGTTTCTAGACCTGAAAATTCTCCAAAAAGTAAACAGAGATGTTAATTAATTAATTTTAAAAGCAAGTTTTGGGTATTTTGGAACTGAATCAAATTTGCTTTTCTTTTCCTGCCATTGAATCCCACACATTAAGATTTGAACCATGTAGACAGATCTAAAAAGAAGTCCTGAAAAGCCATTTACAACTCTATACTGCACCTCTCTCAATAAATACAACATGGGAGAGTGCAAATGTAACAAGGAGGTATTGGAAGCTCTGGGAATCACCAGACAGGATGGGACAATGCGAATCATCAGGTTCATTCTAAGATTCCTGGCAGGATCTCAACAGGCATTAAATTCAGGAGAGCTGAGGACATCTCTTTTCCCTTCTGCTTTGGGTCTCCCCATCCSCTGTCAGGGCTGCCACTCTCTCAGCCCTATGGAGCTGCCTGGACATGCTGGGAAGCGGGAATGCAGTCGGGGATACAGGACTAAGGCCTGGCACCACTTCATGCACCAAACATGGGACATGTCCAGTCTGCACCGAGACCAGCCTGAACTGCTGCACTGCATCCAGTTTAAAGAGAAATTGTAATGGGCAACATAAAGCAAACACACACGGAAAAAAAGCTCCCAGGACAACGACAGCTCTGAGGGGAGAGGGTGAATTCCTTCACTATTAAGCTCATATGGAAACATGGCACAGTTAAGAGGAAAATCTTTTAGAGAGCTTTTGAAGACAACCCTCTGCAGAACATCCATGTCCATATAAACACACACACACACATATATATATATAAACACACACACACACACACATAAACAAACACCTCAGGAAAGCTTCCTTTATTAGAGGCTGCTCAGGCCACACACTGTCTACAAATAGGCCTAGCCTCAGCACTGCAATCAATGTGCACGCAAAATTAAACGATGAAAAATCTCAGATATTTAAGCTATATTTTAGAAGGATGCCATATTAACTGGAAAGCTCCTTGCAATATCTTTCAGTAGACATTCTTCACAGATTCAGGTATTTTTAAAACCATCCTCATGATGATCTAACCTTCCTTGTAATGCAGGCTGCAGAATCCCACTAAGCAATTCCTGTAATTTCTGGATGATTTACAGCACCTCACTTGAACAAACATATGATCTTTGACTAAGCAAGTAAATATTTTATACAGTTCCCCCCATCAACTTTTTTTTTTTTAAATCATAGTTGAAATTAAGAAATTCAAAGCCAATGTGAAGTAACCCACCRCACGTGATAGCTCAGCAGTATCCACACATTCCCAGACGGACACTCACAGTACGGACAGACACCCACAAGAGGAGGCTGTGGCAGCTAATGCAACCAAGAACACTGCAAAAATAACTGTCAACAAATTATCACACTACCACTACTGCTTCTTCTCCACCACTCAGCCAGCAGGTTTTGCTTGGGATATCAGATATGGATTTTTAAATCCTTCTTCTCTAGCTAGGCAAGCCTTCCAGGCAGCTGCTCATCAACGGGACACAACAGGCCAAGGACAGCAGAGCGTGTGAGAAGCCAGGACGGRCTTAGTCACTGGCTGCTTCAGCTGCCACACGTTTGCTAACCTCAGCTAACCTTCATTTACCTATCTGCACACCAGCAACCACTTTCTGATCACAGGAATAACGCCAGCACAGCTGTTCCTTTTCATCACTGCATTATTAATGCAAAGAACATTCTACAGAACCTCAMTATTTATATGCATTAACAGCAGAGTGGTACATGCCACCACCTAGATCTGTGTGCACGGAGGAGCCAAGTCATCTATGTTTGCACCTAAAGAGAATGTGTCAGTAARGAAGATATAAAATAAAATTTAAGATTCTAAAGGTACATGATAGTGAATGGAGAAATGGTCATATATATTGGATGTGAATTTTGCAGTAGGAAGAACATAACATTGATCTGGTTTGGAAATTTCCTCCACAAGTACTTTTCTGATATATTTCTGTGGTGATCCTACAAGTCAATTATTTGCTGACAAAAGCAGTTGAAGTGGATTTAAAAGGAAAAAGGCCTATTAATAAACAAGAATGAAGAACACTGCACAAATGTTGCAGCTACTGGTGTTGCAACTACAAGTGTTGCTGGAGAGCAGCTCCACAGAGAGGGACCTGGGAGTYCTGGTTGACACYAAGTTAACCATGAGTCAGCAGTGTGTCCTCGTGGCCAARAAGGCCAATGGGATCCTGGCTGCATCAGGAGGAGTGTKGCCAGCAGGTCAAGGGAGAGGATCCCGCCCCTCTACTCAGCTCTGGTGAGGCTGCACCTGAAGTATTGGGGGCAGTTCTGGGCTCCCCAGGACAAGAGGGATGTGGAGCTTCTAGAGAGGCTCCAGCAGAGAGCAACTAAGATGATTAAAGGACTGGAACATCTACCATGTGAGGAGAGACTGAGTGAGCTGGGCCTGTTTTCTCTGGAGAAGAGAAGGTTGAGAGGGGATCTGATTAACATGTACATGAAGGGGCAATGGAGGGAGGAAGGGGCCAAGTTCTTCTCAAATGAAGACGAATACGACTCCAACTATTTTAAAATTGGATGATCCACACTTTAGGGATCACGGCAGTAGAGAAGGATACGAGCAACCACTATTTGGCATGTGTATTTATTATTGAGAAGAAAGACAATAAAATAATCATTTCTGACACAGTCTCTTCAGCACCCCTGTTGGGGATCATTTTTCTGCAGCAATTACCCCTGCAGAATGAGCATCTGCCTCCAACGGGGACGTGCCCGTGCACACAACCTACAGCCCAAGCACATGGCTCCAAATCAGTGGCGAGTCTTGCTGCACTGCATCATCCTGTAAGTAACTTTATATAGAAAATACTTGCAAGGTTTCCATTTCAAATTGCACAAATATTTCACCAAAATTGAAACAGTTACAAGATATGCATTTTCTTAACAGTCAAATTAATGAAAATTTTGAAACAAAGTGTTTTAGAAGTTTTCTGACATTAATTATAACTACTTGTGTGCTGAAGGTGGCATGATAAACTGACGAATATTTCACCTATTAAAATAAGGAAAAAAGAGAAATAAAAATATCTTGTGATAAAATGTGCCATTCCTGAAAATATATTTTTTTCATTTCTAAAGTACCTTACACAAAGCACTTAAATACTTCTTATAAGTTCTCCAGGATCAAATAATCTCTCAAATCATATTATAACAGCAAAAATTAGAAAAACACTTTTGATGAGAAAATCCCATTTATGCTTTCTCTTTGATGTAAGGAATTTTAGTTTTGCTACTATTTACAGCATTTTGCTTAGTAATTAAAAGATTCTCATATAGTTTGTACACACAAATCAAGAGAATATCAAGAGAATCAAAACAGCAAATAATATAGAATGTTACAGCAAGGGAAAGTTTAAAAGTTCTGCTTCAAAACATTAATGAGCAATGAGATTTTATTGCATTCATTTAGGAGTACGACACACTTACAAAATAAAGGATTTTTTCATACTAAATTTTTTTGTCCCCCTTCAACTAATAAAATAGGAGGAAAAACCCTCAGCTTGTTAATAATCTTCTAAGTGTGTATGAAATGACTTCCCCTTATATTCAGCAAGGGCAGATATAAACCCAGAGGTAATCAAAATAAAAATATTAACAAATCTATATAGTTAAAAAATGTAGTAATCACTTTTTTAATGCAGATTTACCCAACAAAAAACGTAACTGCAGTTTTGAAAACCATCACCCTGCTTAAACTTAGGCTAATGTGGAGAGTAATACAATGCCAGCTAGCCCACAGATACAATATACATAGACAACTTTCAGACTCGTAATAAATCTAAAGTTATGCAGTATATTGTTAGTGTATCTAACTTGCTAAATTACTTGTTCAAACTTACTCTCCTACTTCCACTGAGGAAAAGAAACTTTACTGATGGACAAATATATSTTGCAACAAAAATATAAATGGAAGACCAAAGGGTTTCTTCAAATCCACTAAAGTGCCTAATTTTAATCAAAATTTCAGAGTGACTAAGCTAGATCCACGCATCATAGTATATTGTAGAACTCTAAAATCTCCATTTTACTTTCCTTTTCTCMAAGTATTTATAGGCACCCATTTGCTATATTCATCACCATTAGCTGTCGTTCTTTATGTGAGCTCTCGGCTTGTAGCCATCTCAAAAGATTAAATCTAAATAGTTATGTGGCTTTCCTTAAAAATAATTTTAAAAAATCATGAAAAAACACATGAAAGCATCGTGGCTTGATGAAAAGGCTTTTGTAGCTGCCTTTCCGGAGTATAGTCATTTATTTTCAGAAAAGGCTAGAAAGAAGACGATTTCTAGAGGTCCACGTTCATTTTTGAATCCCGGGTTACATGTTTGTTCTTGGTGCCAAACGCTGGCAGGGTGAAGGGCTGACAGAGCTGAGCATCACCAGCCAGATCTCGGTGCCATCGCTCCCTTCACTTCAGTGCAGTTTTGCCAGCTCGCAGCAGCTGGAGGATTGAGGCAGCCATAAACATAACCTTAAAACAGAAAGCTAAAATATAATTCAAGGGAAAAAAATCTGTTTTCTCCTGCCCTCCCTGCCCCACTTTGTATTTCTCCCAAATTCCCACAAGGTAAAACCCTACAGGATGAAGATGGGAAAACTCTGAGGCTGCCACCGCGGGACAGCTTAGGATGAACCATCATTCGATCTCCCAGAACTGAGAGGTCAGATTTAAGGAACTGAATGGGCAAGATACTGCTTCCCAAGAGGCAAACCACACTCGTTTCTACCCCTAGAAAAATCCCATGGGCTTGGTTCTTCTATTCGACTAGGCTTTTACATCTAGAAAATTAATTTAACTCAATTTCTTTTTACATCATTGTAGTTAAAATTTTTTTGACTTCCTATGAGACTAATTATTGTAACTTCTGTTGTTGTGGAAGYCTTGATTCCTGTAAGGGGAAGGATCGAAAAACTTTTGGGAAAAAATACTTTTCTCCCCTTAAAGGGAAAGCAGCAGAGAGTCACATATAAAAGGTCATGTTTAATTATCTACGGGAGTTTTTAATTACATCACTGTTGGGGCAGAACTAGAACATAGTGATTGCTCAACCTCTGCCTTTTGATTGCATGTGTCATGGTTCTCTAGATTAATCTGTGGATTAATCACTAGGAAAAGTACAATAAAAAGGTGATTGATAAGGGAGATTGATAAAACACTGGTTTACAAATAGGAAGCAAAGCATAGTCATGAATGACAACTCTTCAAGTTCATAATGACATCCTGTTACAATTAGTGCACTGCTTTTGATGGTTGTCGAAGACAAGGCTTCTAAAGCAGAGCAGGGAGAGAGCGAGCAGAGACGGATCCTGCAGCACATGGACACTGCCGGTCCCACCAGCTCGGGCGCAAGGGGCAGAGCGATGCGTTTCCCTGCACACCCACACGCTGAACCTGCTTCCTTGCAAAGCGCTCTGAGGCCTGAGGAGAAGGGCCTAAACAAGGAAAATATCCTTGAAGTGAAATATTGCTAGGGGACCCTCTCCCGAGGCGGTTTGGCAGTGTCGAGCGGACAGACCTCAAGCGAACAAGCACAGCTGCACGAGAGGAGACAAACAAATAAATCACAATGAAGCCACAGAGGGACGGGATACAAAACTGGGGGCATTGCTCGAGTGGGGACCCATCTGGACCTCTGTGTCATGCTGCTGTAGAAAGGCCAGTATTGTCTCAAGGACACTGTTTAGGGCAGAAGGAAACTCCAACGAAGCCCCAGGCAAGAGAACTTAAGGCATTTGGACGTTCTTCTCACTGGAGCAGATAGCTCTTTGGGGTCCTATTTAGCTTCACGTTTTCTAAGTTCTAAAAGAACCCAATTATATTTAGGAAAAGTGTCCTTTTTTTTTAAGCAGCTCTTGTACACTGCAGAAATTAAGAAACTAAGTTCACATTTTGGGAATCTGGTAGTAAAATGCAAACACACTCCCATAATGCCGCCTGTAGATCACACATAAAGCATTTAAAAGTAATTAATACACAAATATACACTAATTTTGCTCCTTTGTAGAATAAGCATTGCTTATGAAAACATTTTTTCAGCCCTATTGTCATCTATTCTGAACATTTTTCATGGGAGTTGCATTTAGTTTGCACGATCTTGCAAAGAAAGAACACTGAGAGTTTCACTGCTCCCACTGTGATCTTTCAAACCCTACTACAAGTACYAAAGTCCTGTTTAAAGTTGAGAAGGGCTGAAAAGCACCATTCAGAACTCATTCTCCTCTTGACACAGCCCAGTAGGTCCAGGCAAAAAAATATTTTCWCTGTGCATTCTTCCTGAAGCACCTGATGGAATTTCTCAAATTATTAGTCAAATTATTGTAGAAATCACCAATTTGTTGCCTGTTGACAACTCCTCAGCAGCAATGCCCCACTTCTCAACTTCCTTTGAATCTCATTTTCAAGTTGGACAGCTATTGACTCAACAGTTAAAACAGCT